CGTTATCTAATTTAGGAGCTCGACGTGAGTAACAGGGGTGTAAATTTGTAAATTCACAAATTTAAGATCAAGTTTGTTATTGTGTTTAGTGATTACCGTTCTTCAAAACATACTTAATTTTTTTTAGCAATCCTCGTTTTGATTTAGCTGTAATTTAACCCTGCAATTTTTAATACAAATTGCAGCCCATTTTCAGTCCCTCTGCTCTTTCCAACGGGTATTTCGTTTCCCGCTCTTTTAAAGCAAGTTTTCCGCCTTGCTATTAAGGCACTCTGTAAATTTTTGTAGAGTCAGTAATAATTCAAATAGGAAAAAGAATGAACAAGATTTACAAAGATTGCAACTAACGAGCTTGGAGAATCAAGACTGCTTTTTTTTTTTTTTTTAAGGCGCACAACGAGTGACGTAACTCCTTAGGTAACCTTAGAGGGGTGGGGTGTTAATTTCTTTGACAATTTCCCTAAAAAGCGAAATTTTTATCTAGAGGAGTTGTTATCAATGTTCGTTATGTTCATAATCATTTACTGTAGAATTTGTAAACATGCTACACATTCAGTTATTGCAAAGTGGTATTATAAATCAGACGACAGAGAAAAATTTAATATATTGACGACAACATTATACCGCAATTAATTTATTTTATGCATTTTAATAGGTAATAATTTTTGTATAAAGTGAGATGGTAGTTACAACCCTTAAATTCTTTCAGCTGGGGATCTTCAGAAGGACAAAATTAAATCGGGTGGTAGTTATACATAATTGTAATTATTCACGATCAGGAGTTAGGGATTATTTTGGTTGGTATCTAAAGGAAAGTTTGGTTTCCAAAACAATGAATGACTTGATAGGAAGTAATGTCGTTTGTCTCACAGGAAGTGGTTACTTCTGGCCTGGATTGCGACGTTTAAACTGCATGCGGTAAGTATTATTCTGGCGATGACGAAGACTGGTTACGTGTCACCTTACGAAGCTCGCCCCTTTGTCATTGGCTGATTATTTCAGCGTGGTGTACTGCCGCATGAGGTGATGTAGTCATCTTCTAGGGAAGTTTGGCAATTAGCAGTCGCGTTCCACGTCATGAGTGACTGCACTGAGAGACAAACTACAGTACTTCACTGCTATTGTGGTCCTGTTCGTTGTTTTAATTTGTTAATATATTTTCAGTTGGAATTTACATTTGGGCGGAAACCAATCGGGTTCTGGGCGGTTACACCTTATCCTATCGATGGTATATTTAACGCATTTCTGTACTAGCATACGTTCCACATGTAAATCTGAATAAAATCGTTTATAAACCTGATTATTGCAGTCGTGTTTCTTTCATGTCAGGCAGTGATTAATCTGGGTAAAGCAATTCACCATTTTTAACTCGAAGGCCTATTTCCTAATTCCTTCTTTTTTGTAGGACGCGACTATACACAGAGTTAAGCTTTATGAGCTAATTTTTCGAGTGCTAGTCCTTCGTCGGCGCGAATGAACGAAGCGCTCGAAACGTCAGCTTACAAACTCTTACGGTGGCCTATTTCCATTATCAACTCGATGAAATAACGTTATCTTGTTACACTGCCCCACCGACGCAGCACCAGGGCTTCTTTAGAAACTTACCCCCATTTGTACACAGAGTAGACTTGTGATAAGGCCAAAATAATAATTTGATGCGTGAATTTTATAGAAAGGCGAGCGTGATTCGTGAATTTATGAGCCGGCGTGAAGCGTGACTTACTTCCTGAAATATACGTAACCCGTGAATCATATCAAACTTAGTTCCCATAAGGGCGAGCATTTTCTCTAATTGGGCTGGGATATTACTTAAACGCAGACGACACTCAGTTTTATTTTGCTTTCAAACCCATACCCGGTAAACAACAAGCCTCCATAGCATGCACTGAGGCATGTCTTAGCGAGATTGGTTCATGGATGGCACAAAATAAGCTTAAACTAAACCAAAACAAGACAGAATTTCTTGTACTGAATGCACAGCACCGTCCCCAACCAATCATTGACTACATCAAAGTAAACACGGATCGGGTCGAGCCCTCTTTTTTTCTGCACGAAATATTGGTGCTATCTTTGATCAGAACATCTTGGAGAAGCACGTCGCATACATATGCAAATCATCGTTTCATCATTTACGTAATACAGTGGAACCCCTCTAAACCGGACACCCTTGGGACCGGAGGAAATGTACAATTTAGAGGGGTGTCCGGTGTACTAAAGGTTTTACCCATAAGGCAATTTTAAGTCGCATATTGTATTGTCTGACTGTAAGTACCAGTACATGGTACACGAATACTGAATAAAGCACATCAGTAAAGAAACAAACAACATGGATCACAGGGAAGCTTTTCAACGTCATTTTATTTAATTTACCAAAAAATTCGGTGTTACACACAGGGTAATATGATTGCCGATTTTAAATCATGTGTTTTCGCAAGTGATTTCACCCGCAACAGGACAGTCTATTAACCTGACCCCTATTGTTGTCATTCGTTCAATCTAACAACAGCGGCACGATTGTCGAGTTTAGATTTTTTGCTTCAGGACCCATAGAACAATGAGTAATTAGCCGATGCGCGTTTCTCACTTCTGATTGGGATTTCACAGCTGCATGATTACAATTTTAATTTAATCACGTTTAAAAACGTGTGATTTGAAGTTTGGCGACAAGCTTAAAACTTTCACGTCCCTTCTGGTTTAACGAGGTCAATTTCTTTGTCAGTAAGTGATAACGGACTGAAAAAAACGTCCGGTTTCCGGAAGTGAGGGATTCCGGTTTACTGAGGTTAAAAATAGAGAAAGTGTATGACAGAGATTTTGGGGCCGAAAAAAAGGTTCGGCAAAGAGAGGATTCCGATTTCATGAGGGTCCGGTTTAGAGGGGTTCCACTGTATAGCGAAAATAAGAAATTGTTTGTAGAAATCAGACACTGAAATTTTGATCCATGCTTTTATCTCCAGCAAGCTCGACAGCTGTAACTCTACCATATGGACTTCCACAATTCCTACTGGATCGTCTACAAGAGGTACAGAACTTTGCAGCACGATTGATAACAAAAAGCAAGAAGTCAGATCACATAAAACCAGTTCTCAAGGAATTGCACTGGTTCCCTATCAGACAAAGGATAAAGTTTAAATTGTCGTTATTATGGTCTGGCGCCACACAACGCAAAAGACATGTTGCAGCTTTACGAACCAGCAAGAAAACTACGATCAAGTAAATGAAATCTTTTAAAAGTCCCGCCACCTGAAAAACTAAAGCGTTACGGTGGGCGGTCTTTATACGCGCCGCCTCAAAATCATGGAACTCACTTCCAGATAGAGCAAGACAATGCGACAGTATAAATAATTTAAATAATTTTAAAATCGTCATTAAGACCTTTCTTTTTAACAAAGCACTTAATTAGAGGCATATATATATATAGAATAGGATCTTTATCATTATTCTTTATACTTTATCTATCCATTAGAATATTTTGATTTCACAAAATTTAGTTAGAATTCACGTATAGTAGATCTATATACATCATTTTATAAGTTTTAAAATATTTTAAATTTATTTTTTATAATTATTATGATTATTTTTAGCAATAGATATGGGCTTCGCATGAGATTCATGTTTTTAATAGTACCTAATATGATATTCTTAAATCATGTATTTATATATTTGTTTATCATAAGTAGGTTAGATTTACTTTTCTATTTCTTTTTTTATTGTTATTATTATTATTATTATTATTATTTATGGAACTACTTACTTGCTAATACTGCATGTAAACGAAGGTAACGAATGGCCGAAATGTTCTGTTTTTGGACCCTCTGATCCTTCTCCCAAAGCTTTTACGGATCCGCCGAAGACCAGGAGCAAAACCAGTGAGAGTACTCCAACTTGAGCGGCCATTTGTCCCATCTAAATCGGTCGCAAACTAGACGAATTACATACCAAAATAAAGCGAATTTCTTGCTCCATTCGTATGTGGCGGTATAATTGAGATTTGAACATGCGCGAAAGAACTAGGACCCATTCTTACGCGCTAACCGTGATACGACACTTTGAACGCCTTCGAAAATTGCGTTATCGTAATTTTAAAAAATGAATTTTGACCCATTAAATCCTAAAGTTTTGGTGCTTCAAAATAACTTTTAAGTAGTTTTAATATTTTTCTTTAAATTTTGTTAGTAAAATTAATCACTATCAAAACTTCTCTTAGTAATCGAGCCAAAGGTTCCAAATTTTTTGTGTTCTTGATTCAGACAGTGGTGGGGACGTGGTCGCCGAGACTTAACCCTTTAACTCCCATGAGTGACCGAGACAGAATTTCTCCTTACAATATCAATATAATATCAACCAGTTTTGTGATGAGAATAACGAAAAATATCAATTTTGGGATAATTAGTTGATCCAATGCTAAATTCTCTGAACTAACATTATAAGAATTGTACAGCTGACAGTAAGGAGAATTACAAATTTGATCTGGGAGTTAAAGGGTTAAAATGGGCTTTTATTAACGGTAAGTTTAACATGTTTTCTTTAATGTCGTCACAACCTCGAGATTCTCCTGAAACCTTGCACACAAGAAGAGGGATTTGGAGTTTTCGTGACGCGTGAATCGCTGTTTGAAGTGTACAAGACGCGATATTTTGTCCAAAATAGAGCGTAAAAGTGGATCAGGAACCCATCATCCACCACTCCCCACACCTTTTCCTAAATAAAAAATTAAAAAAAAAAAACGCGTCTGGCATGCTTCAGTGTTAGTGGTATGTTTAAGTTTGAGCGCGCTTAAGATTTGTTTCAGATTTCTTTCAGATTTCTTTCAGATTTGTTTCAGATTTCTTTCAGATTTCTTTCAGATTTCTTTCAGATTTCTTTCAGATTTCTTTCATTTTTCAAGCCGTTACAAGTTAACCTCACTCCTTTCCAAGGAGAGACCTAAAGGTCATTTCTGGCTATGTGATAATCTTATGTGGAATTGTTGTTTGTTAAACTAAAAACCACTGCAAAGATGATGTGTACGAAAGGAACTTTGATGCTGATTTTAAATGTATTCGTCTTTGTCTTTGTTATATCAAGCCAATCGACAGCAGGTAAGAGACACTTTATGTGTTATCCTTTGCACAAATTTTACATGTTGACAAGGCACCCTCTTAATTGCATCAAAAATATGCTAGGAAGGAAGACAAACTAAAGAATCCAATGTAGTCAGCGCCGTTTGGCTTTTGAGTTTTAAGTTTAAGGCCGCGTTTGAATAAAAGCCGGACCTAATTTACAAGTCCTTCCGGAACCCCGTACTTTCAAGTGCGCTTTTCTGGCGAAATTGCCCGCTTACATTTGTATTGAAGCTCTGATGCATGGCGCCTTTCGTTCCATCATTCTGCGTCGTATACAGCTATGGAAAATAGGACAACAAGCTGGTGATGACCACGGCCAAATTTTGCATAAACTTACTATAACCTATTTTTAAATTGTTTGCTTTTCTAGATCTAGTCAAATACTACCTTAGCTTTGCCTTTTTGATGCGCTCGATTCCAAACAGGAACATAATTTCATTAATTGTTGTACTAATGAGGCCTTCGAAGGGGGTTTTTGATGTCGCCTAATTGTTTACAAACACCCCTGTGGCCTATTTGGTTAGGGACAAATGTCGCTGTCGCTTTTTGTTAGAATAAAAATATCGCTGTCGCACTGAATTTGGCAATATATTAATTTTGACGTCACTTGTTGACAAGCCGATCACACATAAGTTAGAAACTTGTGGAATTCTTGTTGACTAAGTAATCCAGAATCTAACAGGCAGCCGTTTTGCAATGTGTCGCAATTATACTTTTCAGTGTCTTTGGGGAACTAAATATCCTAGTTTGAAATCTGTTTAAACCCTAACAACAACATGTAGCAAATCAACTTGGCTAGTTTACACATTGATGCTTTTTATTATTTGCTACAACAGTCTTACACAAGCTGAATTTCTATCTAATATTTTCATACCAATATTAGGCGCAAATATCCGGTTGCGCCATTTTACATTTTTATTAGACAATCAACGCATTGACTGGTCAAAAAATATTCTCTCTTCCTAATCGAATTACTTGTAGTCGTCACTAGGAATGGAGTTGTAAAGGTAACCGTGCATTGCAGGAAATGAGGAACTGATGAACGCGCTAGAGATCTAAGAATTTAGGCGAAGAACTTTTTTTCAACAGCAAGGTTTCAAAAAGCAAAATCGAAAGGAGTTTTGATGCTATTTTTAACTTTAATCGTCTTCTTCGTTATACCAAGTAAATCGACTGCAGGTAAGAGAGACTTTGGTAGTCATCCTTTGCACAGAGTCAATTAAGAATCCGCGATCATCCGAGACGGGCGAGACAACGGGTGGTTATGTTATCTTAAAGTAATAGAACTTCGTTTAAGTTATCAATGAGCTGTTTTTACATTTCGACACTTGCATGGATAACATGACTCCTTAGCATCACAGACATTTTGAGAGACAAATGTACATGTTGAGAAGGCACCTTCTTAATTGCATCAAAGTATGCTAGGAAGGAAGAAAAACTAAAGAATTCAATGTAGTCAGCGTTTGGCTTTTGAGTTTTAAGTTCAACGCCAGGCTTAAATAAAAGCCGGACCTAATTTACAAGTCCCTATAAAACTTTGTGCTTTCAAGTGCGTCTTCCTGGCGAAATTTTCCGCTTACATTTTTATGAAAGCGCTGATGCATGGCGCCTTTCGCTCAATCATTCGTGCGTCATATACCTATGGAGAAAAAGACAACAAGCCGGTGATACCTATGGCCAAATTTGGCGGAAACTCGCTATAACCTCTTTTCACATCGTTAGCTTTTCTAGATCTAGTCGAATACTACCCTAGCATTGCCTCTTTGATGCGCTCAATTCTAAACAGGGACACAAATTCATTAATTGTTGCACTAATGAGGCCTTCGAAGGAGGTTTTTGATGTCGCCTAATTGTTTATAAACACTCCTGTGGCCTATTTGGTTAAAGACAAATGTCGCTGTCGCTGTCGCGTTTTGTTAGAATAGAAATGTCGCTGTCGTACTAAATTTTGCAATAGAGTAATTTCTGACGTTATTAATTGACAAGCCGATCGCAAGACAACGCACAATTGTAAAGGTTACCATGTATTGCATGAAATGAGGAAGTGATGGAAGCGATAGAGATCAAAGAATTTAGGCGAAGAAATTTTTTCAGCAGCAAAGTTTCAAAAAGCAAAACCCACCGTATGGAACATTTATTCATCTGAAAGAGCATTTGCTAAATTCGATGTTATTGACCTAATACGGGGACACAGTACACTTTCGAAAATCAGTTAAAATAGAGCTTTGCTTAGTAAGAACTGAGGACAGGTCTGAAATAAGATTTCTTCTTTGAGCGATTCTTTGAAGTCCGCTATTGACTTTCACGTAGGTGTCTACCGTCTGCGTCGGTAGGGGAGTATAACAAGATAATTTCAGTTTTATCAACTGAGTTGATGATGGAAATTGGCAACCGTAAAGAGATTAGGAGAGATACAGAGATTCAAAGCTGACGTTCATCAGAGCGAGTGGCGAAAGGCTAACGCCCGAAACGTCAGGTTTGAAACTCTTTACGGTGGCCAATTTCCATTATCAACTCAGTTGATAAAACCAAAATTCATCTGTAAAAGGCCTTCATGTTATTTCATATAAAACAATAGTCAATTGGGTATCAAAAGTAATCCGGGATCGCTTTGGTTTTACTGCACTTTAATCTGCGATCGGTCCAAAAATTTAACACCATCTTGTCGACCAATCAGATGCAAAACTAAAAACAATCGCGACTTGGTCATTCGCGTTTTCCAGTTAGCAAATGATGATGTAGACCCTTTTTTCTGATTGGTTGCAGCGATTACTTTGGTTTTGGGTTTTTTGACACTCAATTGAAAACTGCCCTATAAGGTGTGAATCGCCACCCAGCCTATATATGTATGGTCAAATTTTAAAAGCGGTTGTACCCAGTCCCTTACTCGTTTAGACCATGATCATAAATGAACCATTTCGTAGTAATACTTTTCTTTGATTTCAGAAGCTTCGCTGATCTCTAACTACGACATCATGAGATGTTACGTAGTTGACATTACATTTCACTATCAGATTGACGGAGGACTCACAAATAGCACCATAACAAATACCAAAGTGCAGTTTTCTTCTCTTTTTCAACAATTGCCCGGCCTTCTCTCAATTATCCCAGAGTACAATGATGTCATGATCACCAGGAAAGATATACTCAGCTCTCCACCGGGAGTGAAAAGTATATTTTTTACAATACCGATGATATTCACTGCATCAATTGCAGCTTGTATAAATACACTGACGACAAGATATAAGGGATTTATCGACAGCAACACTCCGAGTATATTCCAAAATGGCACTCATAATACGCACAATGCATCCACTATATCAAAAAAGCGATCCTGCTGTGGTGGGAATATACCGCCGCCCTGTTGTACCGTGGGCTCAGTTAACGTGTCAAGTAGTAAATGTGGTAAGTTAAAACAACGTATGGATTATATTTGTAGTTGACCCAGGATCAGGGACGAGCAGAACTATTTGTTATGCTCTTGAGCGAAAATGCATCAGGGGGGAGAGGGGAGCGGCTTTGAGATAGAAAACATGGCTTCCAGGGGGGGGGCATCAGTTTATAAAGGGGGGGACTATAGAGTTTTGACTGCCGGTTAACGGCTAAAGAGGGAGGGGGACCATAAGAACGTTACAGAGCCTACAGGTAAATTTTATCGTGAAACCACAAAATCCTGGGGTCACCCTGCCCCCCTTCCCCCCCCCCCCCCCTCCGACCTATAAATGTTGATCAGTCTTTAAGCTGAGTTCTTTCTCCTTCATTTAGGTTGTTTGCCAGGGTTCCATTTTGTTCCTAGCAGTTTATGTCAGCGTTGTCCTTCAGACACCTATCAGGACGAACAAGGTCAAAGTTCATGCAAGAAGTGTCCTGGAAGAAAACAAACATTTGGAAAAACAGGAATGACTAGCAATTCCAGCTGCCTAGGTGAGCCTTAAATATCAGGGAACGTGTCGGTAAAATAAGGTTTTTAGGAAAAAGGAGGGCCACTTGAGCTCGGATATACCTTCAGTAGCCGTTCCGTTTTCTTCATTTCTCTGGATTAGCATCAATATCATTTTCACGATATATTTCTTTTTTATCCAGTATATTTAGTGCTCTTTGTCTCCGTCAGTGCCTTGTCACTGAAACTGTTGTGGTAGATGCTTCTTTTCCATACTTGCACAATCGGTCTCAGACCAGTTTTCAATTTACTTTCGAAAGACTAAAAGTAGAGTAATCCCAGCAACCAGTCAAAACAAAGGTTTACATTATTAGTAACCAATAGGAACTCAAAGTGGAAATATCCAGACTTCTTCAGTGTGCGTCTCGTATCTGATTGGTTGAGAGGATGGTGTGACTTTCTGGACCAACTGCTGAGTAAAGTTAAGTGAAACGAAAGCAATCTTAGATTTTTTCGAAAGTCAATTGAAAATTGCTCCATTGACCATGAATCATCAGGAACTGAGTTTTGACGGGCTCCAACTGGTCAATATTTATCACGGGGGTGGGGGTGGGGTGGGGGGGGGGTCGGAAGACTTGACTCTGTCACGATAAAATTTACTAACCCCCACCGGGGGGCCGGTCCCTTCTCACTGTATTTCGTGCTTCCTTATAGACCCTCCATTGATTGGTAACTACGACGTCAAACGATGCTATATACTTGACGTCATATTCAAGTACCAAATTCCAGGAGGCCTTACGGTCAACACCACCAGAAATGTCACACAGGAGTTTCAAAGACCTTTTCTGACAGCGTACAAGCTATATCTTTCTCTTCAACAATGCAAAGAGGTGATTGTCACAATCGGAAATATAACATCATCTCCACCAGGAGTTAGTCTTGTTTACTTCCGAGTACCACTTACTTTTACAGCATCAAATAACATAGCTGATGATCTTGTGGCTATAAATGTTACAACCTGTGTGAACGCTGCAAATGTCTCCTTAAAAGGATATATAGACCGAAGTGCTCCAAACATAACTCAAAACAAAACCACATACCAAATTAACCAACCATCTTCATCGGAGAAGAAGTCATGCTGTGGTGGGGATGTACCGCCGCCCTGCTGTGCCGTTGGCTCAATCAAGGTTTTAAATACTAGTTGCGGTAAGGATTTTTATTTCTATTTTGAAAGAAATAAACATTCCATCAATAAAATGATACACACGGTTTGTGCAGCGGTATTTGCACTAAAGGCAAGCGCGGAAAATTCCCAACAGTGTCCTCGTCCCTCCATCCCTCTCCTTGACACTGGACAAAATCTTGTTTTTTTTTTTCCTCCAACGTTTTACACAAATTGTGTTACTTTTTTTAGGTTGTTTGCCTGGATTTCACTTCGTCACCGGCCGTTCGTGTGTTCCTTGTCCTTCTGACACTTATCAGGATGAACAAGGACAAAAGTCTTGTAAGACTTGTCCAGCTAATACAGTAACATTTGGTAAGACAAGAATGACAAACAAGACCAACTGCACAGGTATGGGCAGCAACAAAACTGCGCTAAGGTTCGTTTGACTTTACATACACCTTTCCTATCCTATCAAACATTCGAGATTGCTTCGTTTTCTTTTTAGATACAAATGCTGTGCAAATTCACGACCAAGTAGTTTTCCTGCTTGGAAACATCAACTACGAAAAGATAGTCGCCAATGCTACTTTTACTACAATTCTGACTTCCCTTCCTAACAATGTCCTCGGTCTTAATCCCTCTCCTTGAAAAATCCTTTGACACTGGACAGAATCTTTGTGTTTTTTTTTCTCAAACGTTTCAGAAAAATTGTGTTACTTTTTCAGGTTGTTTACCTGGATTTCACTTCGTCACCGGCCGTTCGTGTGTCTCTTGTCCTTCTGACACTTATCAGGATGAACATGGACAGAAATATTGTAAGACTTGTCCAGTTAATACAGGAACATTCGGTAAGACAAGAATGACAAACCAAGCCAACTGCACAGGTATGGCAGCAACAAAACTGCGCTAAGGTTCATTTGACTTTTCATACACCTTTCCTTTCCTATCAAACATTTGAGACTTGCTTCGTTTTCTTTTTAGATACAAATCCTCTGCAAGTTAATGACCAAGTAGTTTTCCTGCCTGAAAACATCAACAACGAAACAATAGTCGTGAATGTTACTGTTACTGCAGTTCTGGCTTCCCTTGTTCGACCATTTAAGTTTTACGTAGATAATGTCACACAGCCACGACTACTGTCACACGAGGTGTCAAGGCGAAAGCGGCGTCGTGTTGAAGTTGATTCTCAGTGTACACACCCTGAGCTCTGTCCTCAAATGTTAGTCGATCTCTGTTTTAAGGAAGGTGTTGTCATACCAGAAAGTTATTTCTGCATTCATCGATTCACTGGACGAATAAGGGTAACGCAAGACTTTGTCTTCAAGGAAGGTGAAGTATTTGATTTACAAATACGCGTGACGGACAGCGACCCAAGGGGAATAACCGTAAACACAGCCAAAGTCAAACTCATTTCTGGTGACCCGTGTAGGAACGTCCAAGCGATTTATGATGAAGCCGTGAAATATTGCATCAAGAATTCAGAATCTGTGGATGGAAGAAAGAAGTGCTTGAGTACTCAGTGCACATTGACTGCCCATGATTGGAAAGAGGCACTTAACAGTGCAAGTAATGTACCAGAGAAAGACTGCTCAGCTGATCCCCATAATCTTACAGTGCTCATCCGCGAAAACCCACTTTGTGGTAAGTAGTCACGTGTTGCAGAGTCTACTCTATCTCCTCGTCTTATCACGTAACACGTGCTCTTTCTCAGAGAGCGCGTCGCGTGACCAACAGGCAAAGACTTCGAAGGAGACTGGAGTCGACTCCCAAAAACAGTAGCTTTGAAGAGTATCGATGGATACAGTTTGTTACTCTCCCCTCCCACCCTTCCCTTTGCCGTCCACACTAAATGTCCGAAAACACTGATGAAAGCAACAGAGTGATGTTTTTCACGTCACCATTTTGAGAAGCACTGATCCGTTTTCACCTGTCCACAAAAGAAATTGGGCGTTTTCAAGACTCCACTTTTGAAATCGTCTTCGACAGTGTTCATTTTATTCCCTTTCATCAGGTGTTTCGGTGTGGACGAAAGAGAATGGGGCTATATTCACCATAAGCCCCAGTCTTACCGCCGTCAGACCAGTTGAAAACTGCTGACCCGTATTGCAGATTGTTAACTCTCCGAGATGTGTTTTTCACCAAAGATGTACATTTCGGATTTAATGCTGCAGTCAGAAATCCTAAATGTGCATTACTTATATCCACAATTCAGAGCTTTGATAAGAGATCTGAATCGTCTGTTGCAAAATTTAAACAAGATAGATTTTCAGATAGAAAATCTAAATTGTTAACTACAGGTACTCACTTTAAATCAACTCAGTCGTTGACTTCTTTAGACTGACTCGAATTCTGCAACGTGCTTGGCAATTGTAAATTAAAGTTGCTTATTGCTAAAATTATTGCTGGGCAAACTTTAAATGCTATGTTCTCTCAGATTCCTTTGTAGCATCTTTTAATCTTGAAAATATGGTATGGCAAAATTTGAACTATTTCCTTCTCATTTCAGCCGTTTATCAGCTTGTGAACGCAGAAGTATTTCCAGTTGTTACTTCTCTTAACAGGCTAGCCCTTTACAAGTACAATTTGTGCAGTTCATCGTCCGTTGTCGGATGCTGGCCTCCTCTAACTACGGTTCTGTTTTGAAGGCAGCTTCAAACTCTTTATAAACAACATTTAGTGCTTTACTCACCCTTCTAGTCTTTATCTTAATAGGTCTCTGGAGTTGTTGCTGTTGGTAAGTATGTCAACATCGAATATGGCGTGCGCATGTGTGTTAGAGATTATCCACCTCTTAGATATTTGAGGCTGCTAAGGGTCACCGCTTTGGATTTGAAGCAGCGTGCATTTTAGAGATCAGAAGCAAACTCTTTGCAAACAATATTTAGTGCTTTACTCACCCTTTTAGTCTTTTTCTTAATAGGTCTTCGGAGTTTTTGCTGTTGGTAAGTATGTCTTCATAGTTGAATATGGCGTACACAACTGAGTTAGAGATTACTGTTTTCTCACATTCCCACATAGCATCTTTTAACCTTGGTAGCATGGTGATAATGGCAAATGGCAAAATTTGAACTATTTCCCGTCTCCTTGTAGCCGTTTATCAGCCTGTGAACGCAAAAGTGTTTCCAGTTGTCGCTTCTCTTAATAGGCAAGCCCTTTACAAGTACAATTTGTGCAGTTCATCGTCCGTTGTCGGATGCTGGCCTCCTCTAACTACGGTTCTGTTTTGAAAGCAGCTTCAAACTCTTTATAAACAACATTTAGTGCTAAACTCACCCTTCTAGTCTTTATCTTAATAGGCCTCCGGAGTTGTTGCGGTTGGTAAGTATGTCAACATCGAATATGGCGTACACATGGGAGTTAGAGATTATCCACCTCTTAGATATTTGAGGCTGCTAAGGGCCACCGCTTAGGATTTGAAGCAGCGTGCATTTTAGATGCGATGGCGACGTCAGTGGCTGATAAAACTCCGTTCCCAACGGAAAAATAGGGACCTTCAGCAGTTAGGACAGAAACACCAAAGAAGACGTCGACTTAAAAACGAATGTATATTTTTAGTTGAAATTTCGCGAATGACTGGATGCGTTTACCATCTCTTACGGCGCCGTAATTTAACCTTAGCATAACGTAGGAGAGCGGCGTTGAGTTCCAAATGGAAACTTAATAATTTGCCGTCGAGGTTTCCTTTCTCAGACCACGCAAATTTCATTTGATGATTTCACGTTGTTATTTTACAGAGGACGGCCAGGAAATCTACACAGTTTTAATACGCACGTGCTTAGCTATTGTTCTGCTCATTAGATCTTTTGTTTTGCCAAGTTCTCGTTGCCGTCACCGTCGTGGTTTGCTGAAGGTCCCTAATGCATGCGTGACCAGGACAAGTCTTGTAAACCAGGGGAAAGAGGTTAAAAGGCGAAATAAAAGTTCTTGAATGCTGCTTTCTACATATCTGGCCCCGGTTTTTCGAAGCTCGGATAACGCTATTCACTGGATAAATCTCTATCCGGTGGATAACGCTATATGTTTTTCTATCACTTATTCGTTGGAGAGCGATTTATCCGTTGCATAGCATTATCCGCCCTTTACACAACTGGGCCCTGTATTTTCAAAGCATAAACATTTGCATCAGTAATAGTTTGGGAGTAAAATAAACTTGAACCTTCATGAGTTTATTTGGAATGCTGACTCACGAGTATCTGTGTTCAAAATGGAGAAACTGAAAAGGAGGTTGCTTCTGATATCTTCGGAACGCCTTCGAAAATGGAAGCAAGTTTTCGGTTATCATGAAGTAGTATGCCACATATTCTGAAGGTAAAATGTCACGTCCCAGACTTCACAAAAGTTGACAGGTATATTAGAGAAGTTATTGCTTATGAAAGGCCCCTACCATAGTTAAAAAAATTGCCACCAATGAGAAGTGGTTGCTTGGGAAGGTTCGACTATGATGCGAAGGTATTTTGTCACAGCGTCACCTCGTGTCCAGTCATCTTTAAGCCGCTGACCTTCCCTCAACTAAAGCAAACATTCCTCTGAAGATCATAAATGATGAACTCACATTTGATGTACGGAGCGCATGATCACCAATCGCTCGGACGGGGGGGGGGGGGAATATAGTCGATAGGTTTAATGTTGCTCTAAAAGAGGTATGGGAACTAGCTGAGATTCAAGATTATATTCAAGATTAAGATGACTGAAGTAAATTCTTCAGCTAACTGGCTTGGAAGAGATAAGCGTTGACTTCAAGATAAAAGCACAGGAAACTTAGCATTGTATTTTGAAGGAGAAGTAGAGTTCAGAGAAGCTTTTTTCTTTTCACCAATGAAACGTTAGTACAAAGATAGAATACTTACCAAAGTTTCAGCCTCCAAAGTGCTTTCTAACCATATGAAATCCTTACTCGAAAATCGAGCAATAACGCCGCCATCTTGCGTGACGTCATTGAGCTCAACCTTGCCGTGTAACAAACATGACTGCTGTCAAAGCGTATAACTTAGAGCCAGAACGTGTCCTCGAGGAGAACAAGGTGTCCAATGACGATAGTGATACGTCTGAAAGACTTAGAAGTTTGAACTGATCGGCTGCGTTCGTAGTGAACTCAGAGAAACTCTAAGAGAGTGTATCTGTTGTCTCGAACAGCCTGAATCGGAAAACAGGTTTACGGAATTTTTTTTCTTGAACTTTGTTCCTTTCGGCCCTTCAATATGCTTGCTATTAGGCATCACCTTCGAATTTACGTGATCAAGACTAGTTCTGAAGACCCCCTTTGGGAATCGAGCCTTACTAGAATCTAGCATATATTATAATTTTTTCATGTCAGACCTGACCATAACAAAAGTTCGAATTTCCTGAAGCTTGACGATGTGAGATAAAAGGCGAGTGTAGGACATATAAGAAAAGAAGCTATCTTTTCTTCAGGGAATAAAACAAACGACCAGAAGCTTTGATATTTTGTTTACATTGCAGCGCTTTAATAAGTAACAATATTGCATCTCATTAAGAGAGCGTCACCGCTGAGAACGAGGCATCGCTTTGTTGCTTTTAATATTATGGGAATGTGTGCGTTGCGTTGTCATTGCGACCCAAATTCATTTCCAGTTCTGACGTCAAACATCAAAAGTGTCAAAAAGAATTAGAGATAATTTATGTGTCCAAGAAATTGACCGAGGAAGGATTGGGTTCGACGACAAGCCTTACAAAGACTCAGCAAAGGGAAGTGCGAAAAAAAAATGAAAAAATGGTCACAAGCCAATCAGAGAAGTGAAAAGTATTGGAGCGGATAGCACATCAAGGAAATAAGGAAAAGTGAAGAGACTGGACCCGAAAAGCAAGTGGATATTTAAATGAAATAACCTGCAAGATAATTTATAGAAATTTTTGAAAGAGAGGAGGGTCGGAACTTGAATATCTTAAACGCTCTCCAAATCGGCTGACCAGGATACAGAGGATGTACGATAAAAGAGCATTTGTGTTGTCTTCAACTTTGTTTATGTTCTTTATTCAAACACGATCGACCTCAGGTTTGTAAAAATTTATTGATGTGCTTATGAGCATTTGATCTTGTCCGACCAATGAATCCCCCGGCCATAGAAGATTGTCTTATCATGAAAGAAATAACTACATTGCTCAATTGTTACGAAAGATCTCTCCAGTTGTTATTTCCCATAGTCATACATCAGCAAACGAACTACTTCGCCGGCGTGAATAAGTATTGCTGCGTTAGCATTCGTGAGTGTTATAACTGTTTATTTTTACTTTTGTAGTTTTGCAATACTCTGTATTGGTTCTTGACATGAAAAGGCCTGTGTAAGATTGGTACAAATTAAATGATACGGGGAGCGAATTATTGTTTTTGTGTTCAAAAGCCGCTCTGATTCCTTAATTCTCTGCGGGCTTGTTTAATTCAGGAGTGACTTCACGTGCTTGATGTAAACAAATAATTGTGTTCAAGCACTTATCGAGAAATGCTTCCCAAAAAAATTATGCCAGAAATTTCAGTCGTAATTTGCTGATGGGTTAGTTAGTTGTTACAGCACTCTTCTTGAAAAAAGTTGGCAATTAATACTACTATCGACGTAACCTTTGTAGCGGAAGTATATTGCGAAATTTCAGTGCCTCATGCATGTGATTACGTTGTTGAACTTCATTCACCTTACGTAACAATACACAGAATTTTGTTCGATTTATTTTTACACTTCAAAAATTGTCAGTGAGAATAGCGATTTTATTATTTGGGTGCAAACGTGACGATGCGGTTTTCGCAAACTCGTTAAATCTTACATAACATGCTAGAATTCAATAGATCCGCTTGTCTGAATTGATGGGTTAGGTAAGCGTTAATTTTAGAGACAAAAGACAAAGTAATAAATATTCTAGAAGTGACATTCATTACATGTCTAAATTTTAAAAAGCCGTGCCGTTGGAGCATATCGAAAACGCATGTAAATTAACGTCTCTCCTTACAGATTGCTCCGACCATTAGCGTTTGGCAATGTCGTTATTTCGTTCAGTGTAACATTTTTCAAATTTTTGTATGCCAAAATGTTTGATCACAAAAAGTGTACAATGTAGTGGAAAAATATTTTTGTTCTTACTATGATAAAAGGAATGACAACAATGTACATTTTTTTACATTACATCGCTTTAATAAGTAACAATATTGCACCTCATTAAGAGAGCGTCACCGCTGAGAACGAGGCATCGCTTTGTTGCTTTTGATATTTTTGGAATGTGAGCGTCGCGTTGTCATTTCGACCCAAATTCATTTCCAGTTCCGACGTCAAACATCAAAAGTGTCAAAAAGAATTAGAGATAATTTATGTGTCCAAGAAATTGACCGAGGAAGAATTGGGTTCGACGACAAGCCTTACAAAGACTCAGCAAAGGGAAGTGCGAAAAAAAAATGAAAAAATGGTCACAAGCCAATCAGAGAAGTGAAAAGTATTGGAGCGGATAGCACATCAAGGAAATAAGGAAAAGTGAAGAGACTGGACCCGAAAAGCAAGTGGATATTTAAATGAAATAACCTGCAAGATAATTTATAGAAATTTTTGAAAGAGAGGAGGGTCGGAACTTGAATATCTTAAACGCTCTCCAAATCGGCTGACCAGGATACAGAGGATGTACGATAAAAGAGCATTTGTGTTGTCTTCAACTTTGTTTATGTTCTTTATTCAAACACGATCGACCTCAGGTTTGTAAAAATTTATTGATGTGCTTATGAGCATTTGATCTTGTCCGACCAATGAATCCCCCGGCCATAGAAGATTGTCTTATCATGAAAGAAATAACTACATTGCTCAATTGTTACGAAAGATCTCTCCAGTTGTTATTTCCCATAGTCATACATCAGCAAACGAACTACTTCGCCGGCGTGAATAAGTATTGCTGCATTAGCATTCGTGAGTGTTATCGCTGTTTATTTTTACTTTTGTAGTTTTGCAATACTCTGTATTGGTTCTTGACATGAAAAGGCCTGTGTAAGATTGGTACAAATTAAATGATACGGGGAGCGAGTTATTGTTTTTGTGTTCGAAAGCCGCTCTGATTCCTTAAATCTCTGCGGACTTGTTTAATTCAGGAGTGACTTCACGTGCTTGATGTAAACAAAGAATTGTGTTCAAGCACTTATCAAGAAATGCTTGCCAAAAAAATTATGCAGGAAATTTCAGTCGTAATTTGCTGATGGGTTAGTTAGTTGTTACAGCACTCTTCGTGAAAAAAGTTGGCAATTAATACTACTATCGACGTAACCTTTGTAGCGGAAGTATATTGTGAAATTTCAGTGCCTCATGCCAATGATTACGTTGTTGAACTTCATTCACCTTACGTAACAATACACAGAATTTTGTTCGATCTATTTTTACTCTTAAAAAATTGTCAGTGAGAATAGCGATTTTATTATTTGGGTGCAAACGTGACGATGCGGTTTTCGCAAACTCGTTAAATCTTACATAACATGCTAGAATTCAATAGATCCGCTTGTCTGAATTGATGGGTTAGGTAAGCGTTAATTTTTAAAGACAAAAGACAAAGTAATAAATATTCTAGAAGTGACATTCATTACATGTCTAAATTTTAAAAGCCGTGCCGTTGGAGCATATTGAAAACGCATGTAAATTAACGTCTCTCCTTACAGATTGCTCCGACCATTAGCGTTTGGCAATGTCGTTATTTCGTTCAGTGTAACATTTTTCAAATTTTTGTATGCCAAAATGTTTGATCACAAAAAGTGTACAATGTAGCGGAAAAATAATTTTGTTCTTCCTATTATAAAAGGAATGACAACAATGTACATTTACTGATCAGATAAATTTTCTTCTTTTGTGGGACGTACCGTCAAGAGCGATGACGTCATTTGTAACTGGCCGACAGACAGGAAGTATAAATACATAATTGAGCAGATAAATCTGAAACAATATTGAAAAATTGCTCCTGTGTTGTTTTTGTTCTCTAACTGCCATAATACCCCCAGGGCTTTTTAAATTTCAGGAGTGAAACAACTTATATCTCCACTGTTGTATTTATGTTTATCACAGGTGGGGGGGGGGGGGGGGTGGGGGAGTAGAAGGGGTCGATGTCTAAAACCATACTGCTTGGTTTATTTTCATTTTGATTCACCGTTCCAAATCTCTGGACAAGAATAGAGCCATCCTACACATTAGGAGGAGCCTTGCAAAAGGAGGAATTTAGAACACAACCAAACATCCCACTGAAGAAAAAATTGAAAAACAAAATTCCTGACCCACCCCACCCCCCTTGTGTTGGCAAATCTTCCTTCCTCACCCTTCCTCGCTAATTTCTTCTGTCATCCTCCGAGATCAAAGCGTTTAGTGCTAAATAAGATTGAGACGCATAATCCTTTGGCTGTTTTGAGAGAAAAATTGCTGAAAATGGCTATATTGTATGATTTCGAAGCAGCTCTTAAGTTTCAACCAGGTGTCTCCCGCTTGCCTGATAGAAAGGACGTCTGTGTTAGAATGATTTATAAACGCAATCATCTGCAAGGACTGTATTATCTATCTAAGGGAAATTTGGTTGAGTGACTAATGGCAGCATAGAAGAGAAATTCCCTATTACCTTGGTTTCGGAGTATTCCTTCATTGAAGTTTTACCTCAACGAGTTTTTTTTTGCGTCGAAATATAAAAGAAAACAAACATCGTAGCGCTTTTAAAACAGAAAATAAAACGGTTGATACAAGATTTACCCACATAGATTTTTAAAAAGTAAAAAAAAAAACACAGTCTGTCTGCCAAGGCAAATCGATTACTTTACGCATTGCAGTCCTATAAATGTAGAGACTCGCCAGTTTTAGAGCGAATTCTTTGAAAACCGCTGTGCCTTTATTTCCGGCAGTCAACTTTTTCCACCTTGGATGTTTTCAAGACGATGGTATTCGAGCCATGCCAAAATTGCTCGGCAACTGGAGGTTTGATAGCAATGCTATTCAGAGATGTGCGCAGGCCGCAAAGAGAGCTGGGTACTTAGTGTTTGGAGTTCAGTATGCAGGGCAATGCTGGTCAGGACCGCTGGCTCATGTGACTTACAAAAAGTACGGAGCTTCGACCAGATGTGTGGGCGGAACTGGTTGGGCCTGGGCACAAGACGTGTACAGGATTGTTAGTAAGTGATAGACTTGTGACATCACAATTGTCGTTCCGCAGGTCCTTCCTTTTGCTCGACATCTTTGAAAAAAAAACTGTCTTTTTTTACGTTAAGGTTCTCTTCGTGCCTAACGCTCTCAGAGTTTCGTGTGAGATACAAGAATGGTGTGTTGTAGATTTTCCATAGCAAGGGGAATTATGAATCATCAGAACACAAACATCAATGTTCTCTTCAAACACTCACAACATACTACAGATGGCTTCATTTCACTCAGTCCTGTTCTGTGTTCCAGCGGGCAGTTAAATAACTGTACTCGCAAATGATGTGATTACACTCTGTTAACGAAGACTAACCCCCTGTCGTTCCTCCAACAAACCGTGTGACCCCAAAAATAAAAACCTCAAAAACACTACCCCACTGGTGATAAATAATTTCTTGTCCATAAGAACTAATTAAGATAAACACAAAAAGAACATATATATAAAGAAGAGTCTCTGTTGTAACTGGTCATTTGAAACGAATTCTACATTTTTTCCTGTGATTTCAGACGCTTCACTGATTGCCAACTACGATGTGAAAAGATGTTACGAGGTCGATATCACATTTCACTATGAAATCCCGGGAGGTCTTACAAGTAGCACCATAAGTAACACCAGTAGGACGTTTTCTGGTCTTCTTAGTGGAATATCCACCATTCTCTCCAATCTCTCTGCGTGCAGTAGTGTCACAATCACCAGGAAAGATATAATTAACTCTCTCCCAGGAGTGAGAAGTGTTTTTTTTAGAATACCACTGATATTTACAGCATCTACAAGTGTGCCAGATTATGAAGTTTCCAAGAAGCTGTTTGACTGTATCAGTACTCTATCTGCCTACAAACAATTTTTAGACTCAAATACTCCAAAAATAAAGCAAGGAGATATGACTTACTCCACCTACAATTTATCCTCAATATCAAACAAGACATCATGTTGTGGTGGGGATATACTGCCGCCTTGCTGTGCCGTGGGGTCAATACGGATTAACAGCACTAAATGTGGTAAGTTGCCAACAAACAATAACCAACACAGCGGTCAAACACGAGGCATGCGCAAATTATATAGTTTTGGCCAGCCGTGCGCCAAATTCCCGCGCAAAATTTTAACGAGAAATGTAAAGATACCGCTTTCACGCAAAATTCACGAAAATGAATTGAGATGTTCACAGAAAGCTGCAAAAAGAAAGAGAAGAAGGGAAAAGGAGAACTTGACACTACTCTGACAGAAATATTATTTCATTACGGGTATTTTGTTGATTTACCGTCAGTTTCGGGCCTTATAATAAAATCTATTCGCTTTTGAAATGTTCTTATTTACTGGTTTGTGAGTTTGAAAAGCCTGAAAGCACTGTATAGGGCGCATTGTGTGACATCAATCGTTCCAATCTTTGTACTCGAGATTATTTCTCTCGTCGTACATGCGCAGACGTTTGACCATTGCATTCCTCTAACCGAACCCCTAACCTAGCTTCAATTCTCATCCGCTGGTTAGGAGTGAGCCCACGCTCCTCCACCAAGAGACCTTCTCAGGAGTATCTAAGACGAGACTTGAGAGAATGATGAAAGTCGAGCCTACCTTAACCTCCAACAGACAGCTTTAAAAAATTCAAACAAACTTAAACGCGCCTAATTTTGGTGTTTCATCTATACAATGTTTTCGAGCCAAAGAAATCTATAATCAGATTTCTACAAGCTAGCGGCTCATGACAACACAGAAGTGAATTGTCTGCGTTTGGTGGCACTTCATGCGCAGAAGTTGCGATGTGGTATCAATTGGTGATTAATTAAGCCTATTTCAAATCTAAGCCGAGATAGACGTAATGTTTTTGTCTTTCTTTCTTTGCTTAGGCTGCTTGCCTGGGTTTAAATTCGTTCCCGACAGTCTATGTGTCCGTTGTCCGTCAGACACATATCAGAACATACAGGGTCAAAGGTCATGCAAAGAATGTCAAGCAAAGAAACAGACATTTGGAAAAACAGGAATGACAAGCGAGTCCAATTGCTCAGGTATGACATTGAACAAAACAGTGTAGGTGAAATAGATATGAGGTAAATCAATGAGTGTACAGGAGCAAGGATCCATTCACTGCTAGTTCTCTTTTCGTTTTTACTTTGTCAAAATCAGCCTCATATATATTTTCTTGATTTACTGTCTCCTTTATAGACACAAATCCATTGCAGCTCAGTGACCAGGTCGTTTATCTGCCTTATGACATCAAAAAAGAAACTCTTGTCACGAATGTTACTGTCACGGGGCGCTTGGAGTCTTTGGTTCAACCGTTGTTGTTTTACATAGAGGATGTCAAGCAACAACAGTTGTCACACAGCGAGTCAAAACGGAAACGCCGCGACATTGACGACTTTTGTGAAGCTGCTGGCGCCGTTAAGCCAATGAGTTATTTCTGCGTTCACCGTCTGACTGGGGGAATTGAAGTCACGGACGATTTTCATTTTAAAAATGGTGACGAATTTGAAGTAAAAATTCGCGTCACAGACAGCGATCAGTGGGGAAAAAGTGAAAAAACTGCCAAGATCAGATTTATTTCACGCGACCTTTGTAGGAATCTCCGAGCAATTTATGACGTAGCCGTCAAAAACTGTCTCAATAATTCTTCATCTGTCACTAGACAGAACTGGTGCTTGAGTGAGCATTGTGTGAAATTTGGTCACAGATGGAAAGAGGCACTGAACAATACAAGTAGAGTGACGTCACAGACGAATTGTTCATTTGATCCTCACAATCTAGCAGCTGTCATGCGTGAACACCCGAGTTGTCCTGGTGATATAGGTTTAGGTAGGTCACGTGTTATTCTCATTTCCAACTTGGTCCCAAGCTTCTTGTAAAACCTCCTCTACACTTGAGCGTTTTTTTAGTAGTATCGGATTTCGTCTCAACTAACAATGCTCATCTACAAAATTGTTTCGTGTCGTCTTTACCTGCCTGCACTGACGTGTTGAATTTTTTGAATTGAAGAAAACACATTTTGATGCATTTCCACAAATAATTCACAAGAAAGCGCCCGAAATTACCAGTGGAAACAACAGCATGTGACGCTTTTTACGTCACGGTTTTGTTAAAGCCGCCGTTTCTTTCATCAGGAGAAAACGGGAATTAGGCGTTTTTGAGATAAAATAATGTCCCATTATTTTCTCTTGGCGTTTTTAAGACCGTTTCAAAATGTTTTACTTTTGAAACCGCTTTCTGTAGTCCGTTTTCATCAGCGATTTCAGGTGTTTCAGCATGGATTACTGTACAAGCAAAACCCCTGAAAACACTAATGGAGCGAGAAAATGTGGCGTCTCCGTTTTTCACCTGTCCTCAAAAGAAATGAGGCGCTTTTAATACCATACGTTTTCAATAGTCTCCTGGTCTCTTTTATTTTAGCATGGACGATTAGCGAAAACGCCAATATATCCTTTTAAAACGAAATGCATTTATCTACGTTTACCACATTTACGGCCAGTCTCGCCACGGTTACATTAAATGAGAACTATTAAACTGTATTGCAGAGTGCTAACTCTCAGCACGCACGTCTAGATCTCGATTTGAATCGCAAATCTCAGATGTGTGTCTTTTCCAAATTTATGCATTTCGGGTTTACAGCTACAGTCAGAAATCCGAAATACATGTTATTTTTACAATTCAGAGCTCTTGATAAGAAATCTGAATTTTTTGTTATCAAAATTAAAACCAAGTTAGATTTTGAGTTTGAAAAATCTAAATTGACCATCACAGGTGTTCAAACTAAATCTGTGTAATCGTTGGCTGCTTGAGATTCTCAAGTTGGATTTTCACCTTTGAAATCTGAAGTGTATGTGACAAATAAAGTTGTTTGTTACTGAAATTTTCACTTGAGAAAAATCAAATGATAAGTTTTTTTCAGATTTCCAAATATAACATCTTTTAAGCTTGAAAGCATGGTGTTTACGGCATCGGGCGAAAGTTGAACTATTTTCGGTCTGCTTTTAGCCGTATATCAGCCTGTGAATGCAGAAGTGTTTCCAGTTGTCAATTCTCTCCACAGGCTAGCCGTTTACAAGTACAATTTTTGCAGTTAATCGTCTGTTATCGGATTATCGGTCGGTTGTCAAGCTCTATACAAATAATATCTATAGTGCTTTACTTACCTTTAACAGCCTATATCTTAGCAGATTCCAGGCCGCAACGTGCATCATTTCGAGATGTTGCTGTTGGTAAGTATGTCGACATTAATTATGGCGTTCATAAGTGTTGTAGCAGACTGGCCTGTTGAATTACGTCTGCTCACTCTCCAATACATGTTTATCGACTCTCCGACGTGTATTTGTATAAAAAAGGAAATGTGTCCAAGAATTATTGTTATTTCACATGAAAAGTTGGCTTCTTCTAATGTTAGTTAAAATTTAATTACCAATTATGATTCCTGCATGACGACATTCAATAGTGTGTCTGAGTAAGGTAAGCTCTTACTACATTATTTCTCCCGAATCAATAAAAGTTATGCAAAAAGCTGTTGATGAATGACTGTTTTCCTAGGCACTTGTCAAGAAAGAATTTTGCCCTATGCAAATTTGGCAACAATTAATTCACGCTGCAGCTGTACTTTCATTGAGATATGAAGCACAAGGCAAGTTCAGAGAAGAGGAAAGATGTGTGGGAGCTACTGTAGTTGTAACGTCTTCTTGAGAGAAAAAATGTTAGGTAAGCATTTTGTATTATACCGAAATATTTTGATCATTGGTTTGGCAAGTTAAGACGTCCAGGAAAACTTCAATCAAAAATGAAGTTTCACTTGTCAAAAATGAAATTTCACTTGCCTCCTGGACGCAAGACTTCCCCTTCAGCGTAACCCACAAACACAGTGTTGAGTTCAAAGGAAAAATGTGAATAAATGTCGTTGGGTCTCGGTTCTCAAAATTTGGTGATTTCTCGTTGTTGTTTTTCATAAAACGGCTTTGAATTATACAGTCTTAAAATGCACGTGCAGCGCTATAATTGGTCTGCTCATTAAATCTTTTTTTTAAGTTTCGTCCCTGCAGCGGCTGCTTGTCGTTTTAGTCTTTTATCATGTTTCTTCACTCGGAGATAGGAATGTGAACAATTTTCTTCACTCTATCTACTAAGTGAACAAAACTGCTGGTTTCAAACATGACTCCATTGACACAGTGTCCACAGAGGCCCTTTATTAATTATAACTCAAGCGAGTATGATTTTAGAAACTATCCCTAGTTTAAATTTTTATCTTTTCAAGGTTGAGGATAGAAAACTCTTCATACCAACGGTTGGCGATAGGGAATGGGGGGGGGGGGGAAGGGGGAAGGTGGCAATTACCCATCCCATCCCCTCCCTTCTACTTCGATTCCAATTCTATTTCAAACAAGGCAGCAAGGAAAGGAAGGAACAATGATGATAAACAAACATGGCTGCCCGGTGGACCATCCCTTATAGCGCTGACACGCTCTTTACGATGAGATGTCTGCACTGCAGGCTGATGAATCCCAAGAATGAAATTAACACCCAATCGTGCTGGTCATCTGCATCAATTGTGTAGGATACAGGAAGCATGTACGATAGTTTATCAAAAGGCTTCTTCAACAAAGTCGTTATAAACAGAAAACAGTAGACATCTTCGAATTCATGTAGCCTTGTATAGAGTAATTTTTCTATTGAGTATCAAAGTAGTCTGAAATTACATTGTTTTTGCTTTACTTCACACTTTTATTGGTGCAGAAAACTCGCGTCACTTCCACGACCAATCAGATGCAAAAGTAAAACTAATCACGACCTGGTCGCCCGCATTTTCCCGCGCTTTAGACAATTTGGTAGTTTTTACTCTGAGTTCTCATTGGCTCTTGAAATACTATCCTTCTTCTGATTGGCTGTTGTAATTACTTCGGTTTTGGTTTCGCCAAATTCACCACTCTTACATCCATCAGGAGAAGTGCGGCTGTCTCCTCTCTCAATAACAACTGCGCTCGTTTGGAGACTTCTTTCGTTTCTTCATGTTCTTTCATTACCTGAAATCAGTAGAGGAATTTCTGTCAGAATTCAGCCAGGAAGATTACCTTTAATCTGTTTGCGTAACATAAGTAAACTCTCTATAATGGCGCTACTCAAAAGCAAAAAGAAAAAAGCTTTATTCTTTGTTAGAGAATTCGTGTGCTGACCGGCTAAAAGAGTTTTACGTTGATACCAGGAATGTGCGTGTTCATAAAACATCATTTTCTCCCAACATTTTCCATTTAGGAGCTACAGCCATTAGAGCCCGCAATGTTTACCTGTGCGTGACGAGCTACGAGAAGAGGGATGTTTACCGAAAGTAGCGTATCTAGCTTCACTGTTAGCGATACAGAGAGTCTATACAGTTCTCACCTACAATCTCTGGCAAACTTGTTAACCTCAGTCCTCAACAAGGATTTTGAAACTATAACTTTATATTCGTCAAAGCGATTGTACGCCAACGCTCGAAACGTCAGCCTTTAACGTCTTTACGATGGCAAATTTACGTTTTCAATTTAGTTGTTAACACCAAATTACCTGTTATTCTGGCGATGACGAGGACTGGTCACGTGACACGTGAATCGCTGTTTTAAGTTTACGTGACACGATGATTTTTCTAAAATAGTGCGTAAAAGAGGATCAGGACCCCCTCACCCATCCCCCACTTCCCTAAATAAAAAATTTAAAAAATTAAAAAAGAAATAGTCTGGCATGCTTCAGTGTTCGTGGTATGTTTAAGTTTGCGTGAGCTTAAGATCTGTTTCGTGCTTCCTGTTCATTGTTCAAGCCGTTAGGAGTCAACCTCATTCCGTTTTAAGGAAATACCGATAGGTCATTTCCGGCTAAATGATATGCCTAAACATGTGGCATTGTTGTTTTCTAAACTGAAAACCACTGCAAAGATGATGTGTACGAAAGGAACTTTGATGCTAATTTTTACCTTATTCGTCTTCGTTATACCAAGCCAATCCACTGCAGGTAAGAGAGACCATAAGTGTTATCCTTTGCAAAGAGTCAGTTAAGAATCATTGCCCGAGATCATCCAAGAAGGGCGAGACAACCGTCGTATAATGCTATCTACGGATCACGAGACAGTCATTTTTAGAGACAAATTCGCATTTTGAGAAGGCATCTTCATTGCATCAAAAAATACGTTAGAAAGGAAGACAAACTAAAAAATTCAATGTAGTCAGCGTTTAGCTTTTGAGTTTTAAGTTCAAGGCCGGGTTTGAATAAAAGCCTGACCTAATTTACAAGTCTCTATAGAACCCCATACTTTCAATTGCGCCTTTCTGGCAAAATTTTCCGCTTACATTTGTGTTCAAGCGCTGAAGTAGTTAGAAAAGGGGGATTCTGACGCATTTTGAAAACAACCCTGATTTTAAGGCAACTCATGAAATTTAACCTTGATTTCAAGTCAACCTTGAAATTAACCTTTTCATTTTTATTTCAAAAAACCTTTTCTGGCACTTTTATCGATTCTCTGAACGATTCTCTTCAACCACTCTCTTGTCACGTCATCGGGGTGTTGTATTTTATGAGAAGCTTGGTTATAAGAATTTCATTTTCGATCAAACATTTATCTGCATTTTGACATATAGTCTAATAGAAGCGACAGTGTGAAACAAAAAGATCATTTTTATAAACTAAAAAATATAACCCTCTGCGTCTTAGCGTAAATTAAATTTAATTAAATTCATTAAATTTATTTGAAACACTCACCACAGGCGGCCTAGGCTTCAGCTGTGAGATGATCATCATGCGAAATGAGACTCATGGCGAAACTATAAGAGTTTATATGGGAATATTTACGACAACTCTTAGGAATAAAAAAATGCAGTCAAATTCTCAATACAAATACCTCGCCTTACTTTCCAGTACATCGCTTGTTGTCTGACCGCTTACTATGTTAAACATAGGCATGCTATGCATGCAAGAGATATTTTTTGGGGGGTGAGTGGATTACTTGAAACATTGTAAGTGATGTCTGCATTCTTACAAAAGGAAAGAAGAGTATTAACGCGGAAAAGAACGAAAATGTCGAATAAACTCACACACAGGTATCTTGTGGTAGACTGTGTGTGTTGTGCAAATAACTGTGACCAAAAATAAATTGTATTGGTGCCACGGATACCTGTTAGTACAAAATTCAGACTGCTGGCTGCAGACCAGATACAAAATGTAGACTGCAGAATACAGAGTGGGCACAAAATGCAGACTGAGAATCTAAAGAGCTTTTTCGTCTGGTATGTGATAACATGTCATCTAAAACTTACCGAGCGTCACGCAATCACTTTTGCACTATTTTGATGAAAATCGATCGTAATATAATTTCAAGCCTTCCTACAGTCTTCTCACTTTGCGCGCAAGTTGGTTGGTGTGATGTTTGTACAAATTTTACCAACGTAATAAAAGTGGATGTAGATGAAAACGAGATGTCACCATTGAATATTCTTAAACACGCGCAACATTCGAGAAACAATTGACAGTTTTGCACGTGGTCTGTATTGTCATCTCTTTAAGCGGTATGTGTTTGTTTTATTGACAAAAATGCGGACCGAGACAAAACCTGTTCCTTCGACTTGATATATTTTCGACGTTAGAAGATCACATCATATTAACTTACCTCCGTAAATCATTCATTCCATATAAGAAGGGTCATTGGGATTTTCGGTTTTACGGTTTTGGCTATTTCTATTTCGGTGTTTCGGTTTTTGTGCCAAAAAACTTCGGTTTTTCGGTTTTGGTGTTCATTGCGGTTTGCGGATTTTCCGTCTTTAAGCATTTGGTTTCGGTTTTCGCAAAAATACTAACGGGTTTCGGATTTGATATCCGATGCGGTTTTCGGTCTTTCCTATTTGACCTATTTGGGATCTGGTTTCTCTTCGATCTGAGCCAGCAATTACACGCCTCCACTAATCTCTAATAGTCGCTGAACGCAAATATTATCGAGAGGAATGCGTGACAAACTAATTGAAATATCGCAGGGATCACTAGGTAGCCTACATGTAGCCGTACCTTCCCCCTTCCCTAGGGTGGTGGAGGGAGGGGAAGGGTACGGCTAAGTACGGAACATTGCCAGAGTTTCTTTATCAACGCCACCTCTAAGTTGGTGACCAAGTTACAGGCCACACATGACTGATTGATTCAACATTCCAATAGAATCTCCAAACTTTCAGTTCTTAGTTCGCAAATGAAATGTTACATTAGGGATTTTCGATGAAACTTTCAGAGCTATAGCTTTTTGCGGCTGCAAAATTGCAATCCTGTCGAGGACTTTTGTGTGAATTTCCTTAATTTAATTAAGCTCCATTACCAGATGTTGAGTCCGCAGAGACCTCGCTCAAGTTCCTTGAGAGAGCAGTGTTAATTTAAGCAGATACGAGAAAATACGAATGCCAAGTCCATGGTATTCATAAATCCTGCAATGAAATTAGTGTAGCTGACTCTGTATGCTCCACTTGTCACCACTGTATCGGATCGATCAGGGTTTTAATGACTGGGATGTGAAAATGTATCAGTTTTGAAAGTTTTTTATGCGATTTTCGGTTTTGATCGAATTTTTAGTTTCGGTTTTTCGGTTTTGGATGATTTTTTCTACGGTTTTGCGGTTTCCAGTGAGCCACAATGCCTCCCTCATATGACAAAATCAATTAAACATGCTAACGATGGTATCTGAATTAATCCTTGGCCAAACACAAACGACTCCACAAGATCACTTTCTCCAGGCATTAAAAACATACACAAAATCGTCCATAGTTAATTTTAATCAGACATTCATCAAGAGATAGCACCGAGCAAACCAATCCAGAAAAATATGGTCGGCACACTCAACAAATCATGAACCTTGCAACACAGCTTGCCATTAAAGAACTGCTCAAATCAAAATGTTTGGTACAATTCATCAACACCTCAAGCAATATTTGATTCAAAATTTTTTCACTTACTCTCGTCGTAAAGGAACAATAACCATGATCGTGCTACAGTGCAGTACAGAATTCCATTTCCTCTCGAACAACTATCCACAATTTTCACAGCATGAGTAACACGTTTACTATAGGTAATCTGATATCTTTCATCTGTCCAGTAGTATCGCATTTCTCATAAAGCGCGGTAAAATACACGTTAAAAAACAGAAAAGCCAACATTTCTCATTCTAAAAGATGATTCCATTTTACGAACCGCTTTCTGCGAATCCCCCATTACTTTGTTGAAATTTGAACACCTCTCAAACCAAAGAACTGAAACGACGCTCTGACTGGTCTGGTGCGAGATACATACGCATAATCCTTTGGCTGTTTTGAAAGATGACGTTGCTGAAAATGGCTATATTTGAATGGCTAGATTTCGAAGCAGCTCTGATGTTTCCACCACGTCTCTCCCGTTTGCCTGAAAGAAAGGACATCTGTAGTAGCATGATACCTAAACGCAATCACCTGCAAGGACTGTATTATCTGTCTAAGCGAAATTTCGTTGAGTGACTAATGACAGCATAGAAGAGGATTTCCCTGTTACCTTGCTTTCGGAGTATTCCTTCATTGAAGTTTTACCTCAACAAGTTTTTTTTTTTGCGTCGAAATGTAAAAGAAAACAAACATCGTAGCGCTTCTAAAACAGAAAATAAAACGGTTGATACAAGATTGACCCACATAGATTTTTAAAAGTAAAAAA